GGCCCAAGAGGCCTCCAAAATGTCCCAAGAGAGCCCCAAGAGCATTCCCAAGAGGGCTGCAATAGGCCGAAATCATGGGATTCCGTTTTTTTGCAGGGTTGTTTTTTTGTTTTTTTGTTTTTCCGTCGTCCCGACCCTCCACGACAGCCCACGAAGTCCCCAAGAGCGGCCCAAGATCGCCCAAGAGGCCCCCAAGAGCGCCCCAAGACGGCCCAAGAGGGCCTAAAAACAACCCGATAGGCGCTCAAGACCGCCCAAGAGCTTGCAAACACGGCCCAAGAGGCGTCGAAGACAGTCAAAGCGTGCCACGACGAGCCTAAGACCGCTCCAAGACGCCCAAGATGGCTCCCAGATGGCCCAAGAGGCCTCCAAGACGTCCCAAGAGAGCCCCAAGAGCATTCCCAAGAGGGCTAAAAGAGGCCGAAATCATTGAATTCCGTTGGTTTTTTGCAGGTTTTCGGTTTTCTTGTTTTTGTCGTCGTCCCGACCCTCCAAGACAGCCCACGAAGTCCTCAAGACCGTCCCAAGATCGCCCAAGAGGCCCCCAAGAGCGCCCCAAGACGGCCCAAGAGGGCCTAAAAACAACCCAGTAGGCGCTTAAGACCGCCCGAGAGCTTGCAAACACGGCCCAAGAGGCGTCGAAGACGGTCAAAGCGTGCCACGACGCGCCTAAGACCGCTCCAAGACGCCCAAGATGGCTCCCAGATGGCCCAAGAGGCCTCCAAGACGTCCCAAGAGAGCCCCAAGAGCATTCCCAAGAGGGCTGCAAGAGGCCGAAATCATTGAATTCCTTTGTTTTTTTTTGCAGGTTTTTGGTTTTCTTGTTTTTTCGTTGTCCCGACCCTCCAAGACAGCCCACGAAGCCCCCAAGACCGTCCAAAGATCGCCCAATAGGCCCCCAAGAACGCCCCAAGACCGGCCCAAGAGGGCCTAAAAACAACCCGATAGGCGCTTATGACCGCCCAAGAGCTTGCAAACACGGCCCAAGAGGCGTCGAAGACGGTCAAAGCGTGCCTCGACGCGCATACGACCGCTCCAAGACGCCCAAGATGGTTCCCGGAAGGCCCAAGTTGCGTCCAAGACGTCCCAAGACAACCCCAAGAGCATTCCCAAGAGGGACCCAAACAGCCAAAATCATCGCTTGCCTTCAGGCTTTTAAGAGTTTTTGGCTTCCTCAATTTTTCGTCGTCCCGACGCTCCAAGACGGTCCAAGAGGCCCCCAAGACCGTCCCAAGCTGGTCCAAGAGGTTCCCACGACGGCTGCAAGAATGCTCATGTGCCTCTCAAGACCACCCCAAGACGGCCCCGGATGGACTCCCGACGGCCCTCGAGGCTGCCCAGATGGTCCAATATCCCCAAGACGGACCCCAGACACCCCCATACGCTTCCACAGCGGCCCACAGGCGCTCCCAGAGGCCTCCAGGTACAGGATGAAGACGCTCCCAAGAGGCCTCCGAGTTTCCAAATTGCTCAAAATCTGTCCACAAGCAGTACGTTCGTAGCACGTCGCGTTTTCACTGCCGATGGGCCTCCGAGGCTGCTGGACGGCGTCAGAACGCCCTACAGAGCCACCTCATAAACACTCAGGACAGCTCCAAGAGCGCTTGGAGGTTTCCCGAGAGCGGCCCGAGACCGCTCCAGCTGGTCTGAAGATTGGGTTCGGGCCGTGAAGATTGCCCCAGAGGGCTTCAAGACGGCTCAACAAGAGGTGCCCAATAGGGCCCCACGGGAGCCTCAACAGTAGAGGGTCCCAGGAGAGAGAAAGAGAGAAAGAGAGAGAGAGAGAGAGAGAGAGAGAGAAAACTCGAATTGAGATTTCGAGCCATCCGCCCCAAGGAGACCCCCGAGATCGCCTTCAGGCTCCACGAGGCCCAAACTAGGCCCCCTAACGACCCCCAATATGTTTCAAAACTGCCTCCAGTAGGCTCTCCAGAGGCTTCCCACGAAGCCCCAACAGGCATCCAAGAGACCTTGTCTGAGCTGGCCTGGGGTAGTCCGCGCAATGTCTAACCGGACTTCGCTCAGTGTAGCTTCGCTACGCTCGTGCAAGGGTGACCCCCTATGCCACTCATGTTCTTTTCGTGCTGTTTCACCTTGTTTCACCTAGTGGTTACCCCAAGGGGTATGGGCTGCCTGGATGGCCGCATGTTTGAACCATCCAGTATCCTTCAGCTCGGCTGTTGCCGACATTTCTATGAGCGCGAGTGCGCGAGTGTCCACCCATTTTCGCATTGCTTGTATGTGTACGCGTCTTGGTACTGCTTGTTTTCACTTGTTGTCAAACCAAAAAACCGGCATCCAAAAGACCTCTGCATCACAACCCAAACGCGGTGGCGGGATAGGCTGGATGCCAACAGGTCAGTATCGAGCTCTATATGGATTCTCGAGTTTGGTGCCACGCGTTTCGGTGTTTCGACGCCCAAAGGCCCTTCCCCGGCGCCCGAGTCCGTGTAGAGTGTTTCAAGAAGGCTTTCGTTTTAAAGGAATTCAGAAGTCGTCTTCTTGGTCACCGCGGAGGCTGGCCGAAGGCCCGCGGAAGCTGGCGGATGTAAATCGAGGGCGATCTGGCTGGCGGAAGCCAGCGGAACCTCGTCTGAAGCCCGCGGAAGGAAATTGACTTTGTAAGAGGTCTACGTTGGCCACCGTGCCGTCTTCAGGCATGCAGAGCCAGCTGCATAAATGTCGCACGGTGTGCACAAAACGACACATCGCCCCCTGGAGGTCTCCACACCTTTCCCGGAACAAGCTTTCTGGGGCTCCAATTGAACCCCCACACACCCCAGGACAGCCCCGACTCAGCCACGATAGGGCCCCAAGAGAAGTTCCGGCCGACGCCGCGCAACACCCGAACAACGAGCGTTTAGAGAAGCCCCAGAGTGGCACAAGATGGATCAACGATCGCACGAGCCGACATCCCAATGGCCGCCCCAAATTTTTGATGTGCAGAGCGTTGCGTTGCATGTCATTTGTGCTTCATTTATCCTTGCAGTAGTTTGCGTTGAGTTGCAATACGTTGCATAGCCACTGCATGACATTTCCACGATCATGTCATATGGATTCGCATTGCATGCGTCTGTGTGTATACTTGTCAGAATTCCGTCTCTGTTCGGTCCGCGCGATTGCTACCTCTTCACTTCATGTGCGAGCAATTTGTGTTTACGTGCACGCGTGCATCTGTGAGCTTGTCAAGGTCTGGGGGGTGCTAGAACCTAAGCGCGCGCGAAGCGCGCGCGTGGTTCTAGTAGTATATACGCATATACGGCTTTTCTGCTTTCACGGCGTTGACGACGGCCCAAGAGGCCCCCAAGACCGCCCCAAGACGGCCCAAGAGGCTCCCAAGAGGCCCCCAAAACGGCCCCCAGACGGCCCACGAGGCGCCCAAGACGGCCCCAGATGGCCCCAAGACGGTCCCAAGAAGGGGACCACGAACCGAAAAGTCTAGCCTTTCGCCCCACGACGCTCCCAGGAGGCCCCAAGAGCCCCCCAAGAAGCCCCAAGAGGCCCCCACGAGGCCAAAATCATTTATTTTCGATAGGAAAAACAGATTTTCGACATACACGGCTTTTCGGCTTTCACGGCGTTGAAAACGGCCCCAGAGGCCGCAAAGACCGCCCCAAGACGGCCCAAGAGGCTCCCAAGAGGCCCCCAAAACGGCCCAAGAGGGCCCCAAGACGGCCCAAGAGGGCCCCAAGACGGCCCAAGAGGGCCCCAAGACGGCCCCAAGAGGGGGACCACAAACCGAAAAGTCTAGCCTTTCCGCCCAAGAAGCTCCCAGGAGGCCCCAAGAACCTCCCAAGAAGCCCCACGAGGCCCCCAAGAGGCCTCCAAAAGCGCTCCAAAAGGGCCCCAATGGGACTCCCAAGAAGGCCCCGAGACGCCAAATAAAATATTGGAAGAAGCTCTTCACATCAAGGCTCCCAAGGGCGAACGGTGACGTGAACTAGCTGATAAGACCAAGGCTCCCAGCAGAGAGCGGTGACGTAACAAGTTCCTGACACCAAGGCCCAGCCAAGGCTCAGGAACAGGCGGCAACGCAACAATCTCTGAACACCAAGGTTCCCAAGAGCGAGGGGTGGCGTAACAAGCTCTCAACGCCAAGGCTTCCGGTACGAACGGTGGTGTGAGTAATTTCGGTTTCTGTTTCTGACGCGCTCTTTCCGTTTCCGTGACGGCCCAGGTCTACTGACCCGTTGTTCTTCCCCAGAGTTTCATGGGCGTCGCGATTCAGCATGCATGGCATTGGAGCCTCCCAAGGGCGAGCCGCCCAGGGGTGTGGAACGGGCCAGTGCGCGTCCGGATTGGCAGGGCCTCTCGGGAAGGTTTGCTGTGCTCGGGTGTAGACGATCGTTTTCTCACCAGGAGGCTGCAGGCAATTCCTTGAGGTTCCTGACGGCCCCAGGAGGGTCCAGGAGTCCCCAGGCGTCCGAAGTACTCCCCACGAGGCCGCAAGATGCCATCACTCATGCCCAGTTCGGCCAATTAGTACATACTTCGATCGACTCATGTCCAGATCCACTCACAGTCGGACTCGTCCAATAGCCAGTAATTCAGATGGAGACCCGCTCACAGGCAGTCCCATTTGTATTCACACGCACTCATACCAGACGCACTCATACGCAGACCCATCCATACCTAGAGCTCAGAGTCCGTTGTTCTCGGATATCGACAGGGCACGTGTAACGGGAGGCGCTTTGAAATCTATGCGCACATGATGGTATCCGCGTCGAGTGGTTGAGCATGTTTCTGGATGTAACGCCCCTGGCGCCCAGGCGAAGACGGGCCTGTTTAGATTGGCTCTGCCTGGTTTCCTCGTGTCGTTACGCGTTCGAGGTAACACTGAAAGTCTTACCTCCAATGCAACTCCCGCGTATCGCGTTCGTAATGGGTGCGCCGGCCTGGGTCACAGAGCCATGGCAGTTTTGGGATGACAAACATGTAATTCGACGAAATTGTTGAGAGGGTGGTAGGGCTATCTTAGTTCTGAGAGTTCCCGGTGCAGTTGAGGAATTGAGTACAGGAGATGGTAGGTGTAAGGGCCTTTGAAATTTGCAAGGCCGATCGATCTGATCTTGTGTATGCGATGTTCACTGCCATGACGGTTCAAGACAACCCAGGCAGAATGTTTCGCGCCGTAGTGCATAAGCCGTTTTCAAGAAAGTGTTGGTACAGAGTTTTTGTTGTGTCATGTTTCATTCAGTCTGGATTCAACTACGCGGGTAAGTTCCATGATAAGTGTATCGGTTCATGTTTCGTGCCGCCGAGTCGCCGTAGCACATTGATCTTGTCGGGCGGAATTGCATTACCTTCACTGATTTTGAAAGCCTCGCACGCCGCACAGAATGTAGACGAACACTCGTTGTTGATACCGTTATTTTGGAGCCGCGGCGCGTTTTATCGACGACGCCTAGTGGCGAGTCACCGCCGCCCTCTGCCTTCTGGAAACGTCTGTGTCGTGGAATATGTAAAGTGGGAGCTTGCTAGTGGACTGCGAGTTTCTCAAGTTGTTCGGGAAACCACTAGGGAGACATGGGGGAGGGTTCGAGTTGGGGCTATCTTGGCGCATCTTTCTGCCCTGTTGGTCCTTGGGGTGCCACCTGGTATATCCTCGGTCATCTTGGTGATATCTATGGCCGTCTCTGGGCGATGTTGTGTTTGCGGGCGCCGTAGGCCGTCCTAGGGTCTTCTTGGGGCCTCCTTGGGCGGTCTTGGGCTGGTCTTTGGAGCCGTCTAGGATGATCTTAAGAGCAACAAGTAGAACGATACGCTACGATTTGGTCAACTATGTGGGCCTTGTGGTCTTATCTCGAGGGCTTCTAGCACGGTTCACGAGGCCTCGACGAGAGACTTTTGGACACTCTTGGGGCCAAAGTGGGGCCATTTTGATCGTTTCGGACTGTGCGTCTTGGATGCCATATTGGACCGTATTTGGTGCTTTCGGATGCCATCCCTAGCCATCGTGGCCATCTTGGGCATGAGTTCTCTTGATGTTTGTTTTGTTTGTGCGGTGGCCGGGGGGTGACGGCAGAACGGGGCTAAAACATGTGGAACGTGCGGCAGAGCAAATCAGAAGACACCAAGAGGGGCGACCATGATACTAACTGCAAAGAATTATTAACAAGTTCGGCTTGCGTTGTTGCTGGGTGTCGCCGGATGTTACCAGATGTTGTTGGATGCGCCCATTTTGTCTCTACCAGAGTCGGTCTCAACAAATTCGCACGCCGAGCAGCCGTGATGCAATCACGGGCTGGCGAATATGGTGGCCGTCGGCGTACACCGCCAGGGTTCTTGGTGTTTTTTGGGAGGTCTCTCTTGGCCAGGGGCGTCTCTTGGAGACACGTTGTCTGGTGTCCTTGTTGTTGGAGATCTCTTGGAGGCCTCCGTGGGCATTCATCGGGGGCCTGTGGGTGTCCTTTCCGGGGCCTGCTGGCGGTCTCGGGGGCCATCATCTTCGGTCAGAGGGATCTTGGGACCCTTTCGAATTCCATCTCTCGGGCCCGCCTTGGGGCAGTCTTGGGGACCTGTTGGGCTCTGAGTGGGGGGGCCGCCTGGGAGCGATCATGAAGGCCTCGTGAGCCGTCGTGGACGCTCTCAAGATGGAAAAGGATATTCAATGAACTCCATATGGAAAACCACCAGGTTGCGTCAGCACTTTGTCTTCGTGGGTCTGCCCTGAGGACCCCAAAGACATCCCAGGATGGCGCAAGATACTTCCACCAGAAGCCACAACCATCTTGGAAGCTTCGAGTTGTGTCCCCGTGGGTCTCGATATGTAGGTCGCGATGCAAAATGCCAGAACGCGCCCAGACATCGAGTGTCTGGGGAATGTGAGAGGGCGCCTGAGATGTCCACAATGCTTAGGACTCGAGGTTGGTCTTGGGGCACGAGGCCGAGTGCATGCCGCGCGATTGCGGATTTGAGTTTTACAGTCGAAGGGCAGTCGTTTCAAAGCGTGCTGGACACGGGAAGCCCTTTTGCGCTGGTCGGCACATGCGTTGGACGACGAAAGCAGATTGGCCGGTGCAGCGGCTATTGTGACAGGTATGGGTGCGCATCCGGTAGCATCGGAACATATTCGGGGCTTGACGACAACACAATCGTTTTCTCTGGGGCCAGGGTCGACGCAGCGTGGCGGAGAGGGCAAGTTTGCGTTGGAGCGGCGTGCCTCCAAGGCATCACCTTCGGAGTAGTTGGTGATACACAGAGCTTTGGAGGCAATGCGGGAGGGCAGAACTTTGGCCTCATCAGGACGGCCAACCTTGGAGACAAAGACATTCGACCAACGTTTTTGAGCCAGACGCCTTTCAATTCATTCGTCGTCGATTTACGTGAGACAGGTAATGAATGCTTGCAGCTTATGCAGTCGCTACCGCTGAAGAACAATTCGGTAAAGCTTTCGCTGGTTGACTTGAGAGAGTACGGCGCGCCAGTCGTATATTACGCTGTTCGCGTAAGGGCGTTAGTTTTTGATGGCGTCGATGTCTTGGCGGGCGACACGGTCGTTGCAGTTTTGGACACAGGAACCACAGGGCTGCTCCTCACAGAAGCATTGTTCGATCAATACGATGATGTTCGCAGGGCGACGGCTCAGAGAGGCCTTCCCTTTGGGAACGTTGAAGTTACTTTAGGAGATTCGGCTGACTCGGAGATTCGATTATCTCTGAGGAGGAAAGACAGCCCAGCGTATGGCGGAGCAAAATTCGATGTGGTAACGTCCATACCAGAAGAAGGAGGCAGCATCTATTACAGAGCTGAGCAAGCAAACCCTACCATTCGCAGGCCATCCACCATATTTCTTGGATTGGGGTTTCTGCTTGGCCAACGGATTAGCATTGACACGCAGCGCATGCAGGTGCAATTTGGTTGAGCATGTTTGAAGCATTTCTCTGAGACTCATGCATCAAATCCTGCTGCCGGCGCCAAGCTGAGCTCTCCAGAGAAGTGACACAGCCTCTGGGAAGAAGCACAAAACACGTGGTGACGTACATTGTTTAGCTCGTTGGCCCGATGGATCTTTGTCCGAATCCGGTTGGCAGTGTTTGAGAGGTTGTGATTGTGGGTCAATTGGACATGTGATATTCTTCCTCCTCCCTGTTTTCCTTCCCTTCGAAATTGAGGATCAGGTTGGGAGTTCAGGGACAGGATTGCTGAGACTCTGTGGTGCTATTGTGAGCCGTTCGAGAGGCATCTGGAAGCCACGACAGGCGGAAAAACAACATTGGAAGCCAACCGTAGACAGCCTGGACTCCAAACCTTGTGTTATCGCGATCTTGATATGCATGTTGTTCGATGTGACTTTGCGGTGTGAGCTATGTGGTGTAATCGATGTATTCAAAGTTGTTTTGTTATAATGTTGTGTTAATGTGCCGAACGTTCAGGGGTGTAAGGTTACACATCTGTATACATATATATATATATATAGAGAGAGAGAGAGATGTGTGTGTGTGTGTTGTGTGAGCTCGGTGTCGAACGCTAGGCAGTGTAAGTTGCTGTGTGAGCCATGCTGTGCAGTTTGGGCGCTGTCGGCTGTGCGAAGGACGCTATGCTGTGTGCAAATTCGACTGTGCATGATGTTTGCGGTGACGGCGAGGTGGTGTGATGTCCGAGGCGTGAGGTATGCTGCGTAAGCAAGCTGTGAGGTGTCTGCGCGGCGCCCGCGCGGCATCAACGCGAGCGAGCACGGGCGCGAGCGTGGCGAAGCCACAACGACGCCCACCCAGCGCCCGGGGCGTGCTGCCTACGCGTCGCCCACGAGCGGGCGCCCCTGGCGCGAGAGCACGGCGAGAGCACGGCGGGAGCCCACCGGGCACGCAAAGGGGGGCCCGCGGGGCGCTCACGAGCGGGCCCCCGGGGCGCGCACGCGGCGGCATCCCGGCAGACCCACCCCGCGCACGGGGCCCAGGAGCGGGCGCGCGCGCGCGCACGGTGCGGGAAAACCCGGGGAGCCCATTCGAGCAAGACGAGAGATGCCCTTTTGATTGGGTGTGAGCGTTTTTTCTTGGTGGCATCCAGAACCTGGACAGCGACGCAGTTCAAGGTGCGCGACGGGCCGCTGGGAGACCCTTGTGTAGGGACGCTTGGAAGGCTGCCCGGTGAGAAGGCAAGCTCGAGGCAGGAGCTTCGCAGGAGCTCCGAAGGGATTTGGAACGTTTCTGGCACGCGTATTGGGACAGAGTCGGAAAGGGACAAATTTCAATGTCACGCACGCTGCTCCAGGGATCGTTGACCGGCGCAGGAGAGAGCTGCCGGGGTACCCTGCGCTGCCGGCTTCTGATCTGAAGCCCTCTGAGTTCTCCTCTAGTGTTCTTAGGGGGGCCCCGTTGGTTCCCAGAATTGTTTCTTATGTTTTACGCATTTCTGTTCGTATGTATGCAGCCGTTGTATGCGATTATCGAGTAAGGGGCCGAACGGTCATTCACTGTCCCTGGGTGCGTGGCTGAAGCGAGCTTCCGCGTTGCGGATTATTCTTGCTGTTTGTTGCTTGTTATTTGGCGTCCCCCCTCCCCCCCCTCTGACCCACCCCGCGACCCACCCGCGACCCACCCCGCGCCCCACCAGCCCACGACCCACCCCGCGACCCACCCGCGAAACATTCCGCCACCCACCCGCGACACCCCACGACCCTTCCGCGGCCCATCCGCGACCCACCCGTGACCCACCCGTGACCCACCCGCGACCAGTCCCGCGACCCACCCCGCGACCCACCCCTGGGGTCTCTTTAGAAAGGCTTGAAAGTGGCGTGGTTGCGTTTGGCGGCTACGTCGGTTGGCGTTGGCCGCATTTCTGCCCGAAGCTGAGTCGCAGGTAGTCAGGTCGCGCTTCCCGCGCGCGCGTCGCGGTGACTCCATGTTCGCGCTTATAAGCTGTGCATATATGTATATATACAGATCTACGTATATCAAAGTGATGGGGGCCGAACGGTCTTACACCATCCGTGGGTGCGTGGCTGAAGTGGGAGCTGGCGGTGAGGATTCTCGTTTGATTGTGAGAGTTGTTGTTGTCGTCCCCCCCCTCCCTCCCGCGTTCTACCCCGCGACGCAACTTGCCCCGCGGCCCGCCCGCGAACCGTCGCGCGCGTTTGATCAGAAGGTCTTTTTTTTCACAGCTAAAAGATGAGGTCATCTCTTAAGACGCGAAAAATACGATTGATTAGAGGCGACAGTTTCGATCGAAGCAATCAGTTTTTTTGATTGAGTAACATGAGGGTCATTGTTTTCGATGGCGCAGAAGCATGGTGGGGAAAACAATCTGGGGAACGAGTAACGGCATGGGCTTGTGAGAGCGACTGCTCCAGTTATTACTTAGAAGTAAAAACACCCGTCCTCGCCCACCTGATCGCCGCCCTCCTCGCCGCAATCGCCGTCACCGATGATTCCGACGATTTATTTGGTGTTCCAAATTCTGGGCGGTCAAAATCGATTGCTCCTATCGGAACATAGTTCTCGAACTATTCGCGGTTCGCGCGTTTATAGCAGCGTCTCGAAAAGGCGTGGGGGCGCGGGTGAAGAGGACGAGAAGGGGGGGCGAGGAGCAAGGCATGAAACGGGAACGAGAGGTGCTGTGGAGGACGATTGCGAAAACGGACGTTGGGTGGAGGACGATTGCGAAAGAGGACGCGGGGGGCAAACGACCCACCCCACACCCAGGTAAGAGATGGGTCGGTGGGCCGTCCCTGTCCCCCTCCGCCGAGAAAGTCAGGGGCTAAAGGATTGGGTCCGAAAGTTAACCTCTGACTTTCGCACGCCTATCCATGACGCGGAAACCGAGATGCCCCCAAGAACCCCCTCCCCTCCGCGCGATGATGGCGATTACGGCGACGTGGGCGGCGATCAGGTGGGCGAAGGCCGCGGGGCAAGTTGCGTCGCGGGTGGATCGCGGGGTAGAACGCGGGAGGGGGGGGGGACGACGACAACAGCAACTATAACAATCGAACGAGAATCCGCACCGCCGGCCCCCACTTCAGCCACGCACCCACAGATGGTGTAAGACCGTTCGGCCCCCTTTCTTCTGACATAAATCCGTAAGGGCTTCGCCCCCTGCCGCCGGCCCCCTCTCTCGGAGAATGGGCCATGGAAGAGCTAAGTCATGAGGCCTTTGCGCTGTCGTGAAGCAGTATCGAAACTTCATGCGAAGCCGATTCGCAATCAGCAAAACCAACTGATCACAAGAGGGGTTACCACACCTGGCGATTGGTAAGACGTGTATGGTTTACGGGCTTGGTTACCACACCTTGCGATTAAAGGGCCGAGGGAGTTCTCGCAGTTTGGGTTACCACGCCTTGCGATGGATGTGCGTGAAGGGTGGCACCGAATTTCAGAAATGTGGCAAATCCCTTGTGTTTTTGGACCCTGACCCGCGGATCTGCGTATTTCAGAAATGTGGTGTGTTTTTGGACCCTGACCCCGCGGATCTGCGTGAGGGGTGGCACCGAATTTCAGAAATGTGGCAAATCCCCTGTGTTTTTGGACCCTGACCCCGCGGATCTGCGTGAGGGGTGGCACCGAATTTCAGAAATGTGGCAAATCCCTTGTGTTTTTGGACCCTGACCCCGCGGATCTGCGTGAGGGGTGGCACCGAATTTCAGAAATGTGGCAAATCCCATGTGTTTTTGGACCCTGACCCCGCGGATCTGCGTGAGGGGTGGCACCGAATTTCAGAAATGTGGCAAATCCCTTGTGTTTTTGGACCCTGACCCCGCGGATCTGCGTGAGGGGTGGCACCGAATTTCAGAAATGTGGCAAATCCCATGTGTTTTTGGACCCTGACCCCGCGGATCTGCGTGAGGGGTGGCACCGAATTTCAGAAATGTGGCAAATCCCATGTGTTTTTGGACCCTGACCCCGCGGATCTGCGTGAGGGGTGTCGATTTCGAGCCCCCCCAGCAATTCAGACAACGCGCCACTACAAGCTACAACTGGTACAGGAAACTGCGAACCTCGCGCCTACAGCCTGGTGGCCCCACAAGGGGGCCGGCGGATATCTATATATTTTTTTTTCCCCCATATCCTAAGGATTGGGGTTCTTGTTATTACTCTGACGCCTCCCACTCCTCCTCCTTCCTCCCGCCTCCCGCCTCCCTCCTCCCACTGATCATCACCAGATAAGATAAGACATGATATAAGATAAACTAAGACAAGATAAGAGATGTCAAGATAAGATAAGATAGAGGGTAATAAAGGTAAGATAAGATAGGACTCGATAAGATAAGATGAGACTCGCTCTCACTCAGACTCACTCACAGTCACATTCACTCACACTCACACTCTCTCATGATCACAAAACGCTGCCAGGGGCATCATTTGGGAGCCCCAAGGGGGAGCCACCCTGGCTGATCTCACGAGCCCGTTCGCGCCGATTTTGGTGGGACGTCTCAGCTAGAATTGCCGTTTGGCCTCCCCAACATGTATCTCTTGAGAGCCTCATGGTCACAAAACGCTGCCAGGGGCATCATTTGGGAGCCCCAAGGGGGAGCCACCCTGGCTGATCTCACGAGCCCGTTCGCGCCGATTTTGGTGGGACGCCTCAGCTAGAATTGCCGTTTGGCCTCCCCAACATGTATCTCTTGAGAGCCTCATGGTCACAAAACGCTGCCAGGGGCATCATTTGGGAGCCCCAAGGGGGAGCCACCCTGGCTGATCTCACGAGCCCGTTCGCGCCGATTTTGGTGGGACGTCTCAGCTAGAATTGCCGTTTGGCGCCCCCAACATGTATCTCTTGAGAGCCTCATGGTCACAAAACGCTGCCAGGGGCATCATTTGGGAGCCCCAAGGGGGAGCCACCCTGGCTGATCTCACGAGCCCGTTCGCGCCGATTTTGGTGGGACGCCTCAGCTAGAATTGCCGTTTGGCCTCCCCAACATGTATCTCTTGAGAGCCTCATGGTCACAAAACGCTGCCAGGGGCATCATTTGGGAGCCCCAAGGGGGAGCCACCCTGGCTGATCTCACGAGCCCGTTCGCGCCGATTTGGTGGGACGCCTCAGCTAGAATTGCCGTTTGGCCTCCCCAACATGTATCTCTTGAGAGCCTCATGGTCACAAAACGCTGCCAGGGGCATCATTTGGGAGCCCCAGGGGGGGTCCACCAGGGGCTTCATAGTCACCAAACGCTGCCAGGGGCAGCATTTTGGCTTCCCAAAGAGGAGTCGACCCGGGCCTCCTAGTCGCCAGACGCTGCCAGGGGCACCATTGGGATTCAGACTCGCACCCAGACTCACTCATACACAAGCTCACTCACACTCAGATTCATTTCTTCAGAGTCAGGCACACACAGACGTACCCATACTCAGACTCA